TGACGCCAATAATATTTGTACTTGGGGCCTGGCCCGTAATTGTGGTTGCCATTGGCAACAGTAGCTTATTGTATGTTTAGAATTTTTTTTTTTTTTTTTTTCCCCTTTTTCATTTTTTCTTAAGGATAACTTTTAGGTTTTATCTGGAGGGTGCCTTGCATGGGACTTAATGTCCCGTTTGTACCTTTCTTTTTGGCCTCCTTCTCATTTTTTTTTTAATTTTTTTATTTCTTTCCTTGCGATTTTTATAACAATTTAGATGTCTGTTGTTAAGTAGTTAATATGATGTAGACCAATAAAGATGATAAAATAAAATAAATCAAAATCAAAATAAATCAAAATGAATCATATACACCTATTTCAAAATACGTTGTCGGTCCGAGATCTAAAATGGATGATCTGAAACTAAACAGAATTTTTGTACTTTTAAGGTCATGCATCATATTCCAATATAAAAGTAAACTACGTTGTTTGACTTTTAATACATAACATTTTGCTGCGTCAGGTGTTACTCGGTCTCTGATTTCAGATTTCAGATCTCCGACAGACAACGTTTTTAAAAATAGGTGTATATAAAAACTCATTTGATAGGAATTTATGTATCTGCTCCAAATTTCGGGAATGCTAACAAACCAATGAGTGACGATTAACGAAGTAGTTTCTTTAAAAAAATCTATCAGTTTTCTCTGTAATCACAGAGTGGGACAATCACGAAAATTTACAAAATTTTAGAATTTTCTCGTTTTGTTTTTGATTCTAGATGAAAAATATCTAATAAAACTTGGTCAAGATTTACTTAAGCCTTACCTGCTAAATCATAGATGTTGGTTAAACGTGTTGGAAACCCCCTTTTATCTAAACCTTATCTTCTAGCTAGCTGCTTGTAACACGAAATATGAAGTCTTAAAATTTCATTTGTACTTCGTAATTGTTTGCATGGCAAAATAGTTTTTTTAACTGCCCACAGCAGGAGGAGCGCTGAATATGTATTATACTCAGCTGCCTCTCTCGCCTGTGTAGCGCTGCATTGGGAGAGGGATGCCCATGGCTGGCCTCTGCTATCCCCTGTCCATAAAAGTTCTGTCTCTACCATCCCTTGGGGATCCCCAAGACATCCCCCGTCTATCCCCTTTTCCCTACCGCATCATAAAGCCCTATCTACTATCTATGTGTCTCTCCCATGCCCTTTGTCCCCTGGGGATCCCCTAGACAACCCCTGTCTATCCCCTTGTCTCCACCAAGTGACGGCCAAGGGATTTCTGAAGGGATCCCCAGGGAACTTCGGGATGAGAAAGACACCTGTATTCTAATGGAAAAAACACGGACAAGAGGGTAGACAGGAAATGTCTTGGAGATTCCCAAGGGATGGTAGAGACAGTCCTGATGCATGACAACTAACGGCGCATACACATATAATTTTATCTGCAGCGGTTGATGTTGTACTGGATTATTATGACGAATAGTTTCATTATTATAACTCAGTTATACGATGCATGAAAATATATACGTTGATCTTCGTGTTTTGTAAACGGCGCATACACATATCAATCATTTCATTAGTGACGAACATTTAATCGTTATAAAGTTTTTCTTAGTTATCTTTTTAGTAATGACGAACATTTAATCGTTATAGGCTTTTCGTAACTAGTGCGATACCTGTGATTTCGCGACACGATCGACATGTTCCGGTGGCCGACCTTTTGGGGGGCTCTGAAATGTAACACACTTTTTCTGTTGGTATTCCTGTATAGCGAAATGAAGTGTCCTGTCGGGCTATCCAGTGGATTCACTGGATCCACTGGAATATCAGTTCGCAGACATGAATCCTGTCGGAGTACTGGACATGTGTGGATAATGCCCTCTGAATATTTATGTCTATACCAATTAAAACCCTAGAATGTCGGTTCGTAATTTTCAATAAGTTCGGTATAAATTCGTTCTACAGCATCATCCCTATATCGTTACATCTGTTCAATACTATCAAAGAAGATGCCTCCTAAACCAGCCGTAGTAGAAAAGAAAGGCGAGAAGAGAGCAGGCAAAAAGGCTGCCATCGGTGACAAGAAGAAGAGAAAGTCCAGAAGAAAGGAATCCTATGCCATCTACATCTACAAAGTCATGAAACAGGTCCATCCTGACACTGGTATTTCCAGTAAGGCCATGAGCATCATGAACTCCTTTGTGAATGATGTCTTCGAGCGCATCGCTGGTGAAGCTTCCCGACTTGCTCACTACAACAAGAAATCCACCATCACTTCTCGAGAAATCCAGACGGCTATTCGTCTTCTTCTGCCTGGTGAACTGGCCAAGCACGCAGTCAGTGAAGGCACCAAGGCTGTCACCAAGTACACCAGCAGCAAGTAAACAGTT